AAGTGTACAGTCACAAGGGTTGCATAATTGTCGTTTTTTTTATTTGAATGTATTTTTTAAGAGTATTAAAAAAATTAATTGCTAATATGCTAATACAAAAAGTATTAGGAAACATCTTTTATGGACAGGCTAAATTATACGATCTTGCTTGGTCACATCCATTTGCAAAATTTTATTATATGATGAAAACAATTATGTTTTAAAAAACAAAGAAAGAAAAATTAACAAAATAGAAAATTAAAATATTTTTAAAATTTAAAAAATAATTTAATAATTTGTATAACTTGTGCACTGTATATATTTTTGTTTTTTTAGGGTGGTTGTTATTTTCTGCAACGATTGGACAAGGCAATCAAAAAAAAATTAGTTTTAGACGACATTAACAAGAATGATTTTAATATATTTTATTTGTTTTTACAAAAAAAGTAGGAAAGCAAAAATATAAATTGCTATTTGTTTTTAAAATATATTTGTATGCAATTTTAATGTAAGTATATATTATCCCTATATGGTTACGTCTATGTATTACATTCAAATATTTTTAATTATAACTTGTTATTTTATAATTAATTTTATTTGATTATTAGTAAACACAAGTTTAGCTTATTTCTAACACATATACTTCATCACATTTATAAAACAAATATACTATATCACAGAAATTTTGTGGCTCAGATTCCAATACTCTCCATTTTTTTATTGTTTTTGCTGGTCATATATTTGCTTTGTAACCATTTATCTTTTCTTTTTCGTACATAAAAAATCTACACGTTGTAAGTTTTTAAATGATTTGCATTACTTCATATTCAGATTTCTTATACCATTCTTATACACACACAACCCTCGGAATTAGGCTCGGCATTCAGCAATGCCGACCTAACTGCCGACCTGAAAGTGTTAGAGCTTAGCAAAAAGTTGCTGACCTTGTTTCTATGTTTTGTGTTCAGACCTTAGTATCAAATAATTTTTGCCGACCTGATGCTGAACTTAAAAAGATTGAGGTCGCAATAATTTGCCGACCACATTTTTCCTAAATCCGAGAGTTGAACCTATATACATAGTTTTTAAGCTTCAATTAGGCCATGCTGTCTAAACATTTTCCACATAGCCTTATTTGTTTCATATTACCTTTTTCTTACTGTTGGCTTACTATCCCCAAGCTCTTAGTTTTGTAATTTTGGATACCTGGTGCTTTATAATATATACATTTTTAATGCAAATTCACCTCCCCAAGGCAAAGACGGACACTACAGACGAGGAGGCTAATAATTGTGGTTATAAACTTCTCTCAACTCTATAACACCAAAACACGAACCTTGACAAACAGGGCCATTGTGCAGAGAAACAAGTTGAGCACAGTACTACTTTGGAGTAATGGGGATCCAACTTGGAATCTCCCATTTGGTCTACTGTGTTATTGTTGAAATAAACGTAAACAATTATTAATAATAACTATTATTAATTGTTATGCAATTATTAATAATATATATTAATACTTGTTTACATATTTCTCTAATTAAAGAGTAGACCGAATAGGAGAGGGAGGGTATAACTAAGTTCATTAAGCCGAATGTTAGAAAGCTATTGATATAAAATATTACAAAGGGCTAAAAGATTGGAGAAAAAAAAAACGTACAGGAGAAAAAAGGTAATATGAAAAATTAAGACTATGTAAACGACGAAAAAATATTTGGAAATTGTGGAATATGAACCCCGAAAATTTCCTGTATGAAGTAAAAACCTTATCTTTCCCTGTATGAAGTCTTATCCATATAAGCTAAACTTGCGTTTACAAAAACATAAATATGATATAATAAAAGTTGTACTAAAAATATATGCATGCATTACATAGACGTATTCATAAAAGGACAAAATATACTTGTTACATGAAAGTTATTAAAATATATTTTACAAACAGATAGCAAATTATATTATTATATAGGAAAATTATTCTTTTTAATGTTGACTGAAAACTGTTTTTTTATTTTTTTGCCTTGCTTTATCCAATTTTGCTGCTGAAAATAACAATAACCCTTAAGATACAAAAATATAACATTATGCAAATTATTTCAGTAATTTTTTTATTTTATTTAAATTTATTTTTTGTTAATTTAACTTTCTTTGTTTTTGAAACTTAGTTTTTTTCTGCAATTCCTAATATAATAAAAATGTACAAATAAAGGTGACCAAGTTGTCTAAATTAAAATACTTATGCATAGGCATACAAGATAAATAATAGCACCCATCACCTGAGAAGGTTTGCAAAAGTGGAATTTGTTGACACTATTATAAAAAGAATTTTTTATGATTGTTTACTTGTGCTTTTTTTTTTAAAGATATTTTTAAAGAATCATCTTTTAAAGTTTTTGGTGTCTTTTGAATACTCTTTTAAAGATTTTCCAAAAAACCATTTGTTAAATTTTGTTTCTCACCTCAAAACTAAGGCTCTAGAGATTTTTGAAAAGTGTTCAATGGTGTCATTTACAAAGGTTAATTTTAACTCTTTAGAACTTTCTCCCTTCTTCATGTTTTCCTGAATCATGCTACCTACACTTTTTCAATTTTTCTGTCAACAATTTGTTTGGTCTACTCTTTCAATAGTTAATAAGTTGCCATTTTTATTGTATTTTTTTTTTCCAAATAATATTTAAAAATTGATAATTTTTTTAAAAAATTATAAAATTTAAAGCTAACTAAAATTCCATTTTTCCAGCTCAAATTGCCCAAATTATATAGAAAATTTTATCATAATTTTAAAAATTATTGCAAATTATTAACTTTTAAATTTTATTTGGAAAAAAAACAATAGAATGGTTACTTATTAATGGTATAAAACTCTTAAGAAACTTGCTTTTATTGTTTTTAATGGTATAAAACTCTTAAGAAACTTGCTTTTATTGTTTTTAATGGTATAAAACTCTTAAGAAACTTGGTTTTAAAATAATTTTCCTTTAGTTTCAATATTTATGATATAAAATCTATTAATAAAAATTTCTTAAGATTTTACTTTCAAGTTTTCAAATTCATAGAAATTAAATTACTTTACAATTAATTTTCCTAACAACAGCAAATATTATCTGAAAATGATAACAAGAATTATAATTCTTAAAAAAAAATTTTTAAGGTGTAGCCGTTTGAGCTAAAGATTTGTGTAAATCATTGAGTTTTTGCATGACAACCTCTCCTTGCGCTTGTATAACAAAGTTTAGAAAATGTTAGATATGATGCTATTTATTGTTCCTGATATTACCAAAATGTGTTAAATAAGTGTTAAATTTATGGTAATCAAAATACTTCAAAGGATTCTAAAGTGTTTGTTATTATTATTATTATGTATTTCGCCGATGAAAAAAGTTTACAAGTTTGTGAAATACAATATATAATACATGGCTGGGGCAAGAAGAAGACTAGTTTAGTCTTATCACCAAGCCCCTTTAAACAAAACTGTCAATATTAAAAATACAAAGCAAAGTAACTCGTTAAATAAACATTAAATAAAACATTGCGTTAAAATAAAATAACCTTAAATAAAATGTAACGTTAAGTAAAAATAAAATAAAATACATTTTACGCTATGTTAGAGTGTAATATATCCAAAAGTATAAGAACAATTTATTAATTAAATTCATTTTTTCTAACTGGTTTTAGTTTTATAAACCTTTTGAATTTAGATCATAAAATAACAGATAATACGCGAATAACAAACAAAACAAAAAACAAACATTTTAAAAAACATTTTTAGTAACTTAATGTGTTTTTTATATATGTTTTTTATTAAAGTTTGTTATATATATAAAAAAAAAAAAAAAAAAAAAAAATAACTTCATAATGTACAAATTGACTAACAGTATATACAGAATATATATTTAAACCATATTTATAAAGAAATAAAATATATAGACAAACGTGATTACTCATAATCAGAGGATTCAGAAAATTTTTAATTCGTTGTCATTTATTAAAAGCTTTTCCTTAAGTTTGTTTTTAAAATAATTGATAGAAGAAATAGTTTTGAACTCATTATTAAATAGCGTGTTCCATAGTTTAGGACCTCTATTTATAATATTATATTTAACAATATAATTGTATTTTACAGTGCCTACCTTCATTTAGTTAGACAGACTATTTTAATAGATGTTTAAAAAACTTTAGGGTTTTCTTTTTTTGTATTTAATCTTTAACAATGTTGTTCAAAAAAATATTATTCAAATTTATATTAGTTCATTAATCTAAAAATAAAAGCAAGATCATTGCGGTAGTGGTGTAGTGATTAGAGCGCTCGCTTTGTAAGCGAACGGTTTGGAGTTCGACTCCCACCACGTCCCTGGAAGTACCGCGCTCAACTTATTTTCTCCGCATAGCGGTCTTGCTTGTCAAGGTTCGTGTTTTAGAGTTAAAGAGTTGAGAGAGGGTTGTACCACGATTTAAAACAACAACAAAAAAAAAAAAAAAAAAAAAAAAAAAGAGTAGCCTCCTCGACTGTAGTGGCCCCTTGGGCCTTGGGGAGGGAAATAATTAAAAAAAAAAAAAAAAAAAAAATTAATACAGTTTCTTAAATCAGAGGTAAAGTCATCGAAGCGTATAATAATGTGACCCTCTTCCTTCTTCAGTTCAATGAATATCTGCATCATTAGTCACCGAAATCGGACCATTTGTACCTCCATTAAGCAATTTTTAACCTGTTATTTTAGATACAGTCAGCATAATGGAATTTAGACTATTTATCTTTAGGCAGCAAATTTTAGAATTTGTGAACCTTAACTTGAGAACCCAAGTTTAAGACCCTACCTTTTTATTTTATATTATTTTTTATCAGCAAAACTATACTGATAGTGATAAAATAGAAAAAAACACCTATAGTTACCATTATATGTTAGTAATATTAGCCATATTAAATTATAAAAAATTATAATAAATTAAGAATGTTTATATTATGTTAGGATATGAAGAAAATTTTTTAAATTGCGTTATGTTTTTTTAATGACAATTTTATTTAAAAGGTAATTTGACTGATTGGAGTCAGTGGAGTGCATGTTCTAGTACTTGTAAGACTATCAGTGATGGACCTTACCAGTACAGGAACAGGTCTTGTGTTGGTTATTCTACTTGGAATATTCAGGATTTACCTTGTAACGGCAGCAATATAACTGATCAACAATATTGCAATCAAAATGTACCTTGTTTAGGTATAATTTTTTGTTAACATTATTACAGTTAATTTTATTTAATCACTTTTAAAGATGTGTATTTCTTTATACTTACTTATAAATTTTTTATATTCTGATGTTTAAAAATAAAAATGATAATATGTTTTTTCTTTTTTGCTTGCTTTTGTTTGTGAATTAATTGAAAAAAAAATCGTTCAAAGATTTTTAAATCATATTATTATATAAAATATCTAACTATTATATATTATATCTATCAATTTATATATATATATATATATATATATATATATATATATATATATATATATATATATATATATATATATATATATATATATATATATATATATATATATATATATATATATATAATATATATATGAATATATATATATGTATATATATAAATATGTATATATATATACACACACACATATATATATATATATATATATATATATATATATACATATATATATATATATATATATATATATATATATATACATATATATATATATATATATATATATATATATATATATATATATATATATATATATATATATATATATATATATATATATATATATATATATATATATATACATACATATGTTTATCTCTTATGATTTTTAATTCTAATTTACAGTAGGATTTGTGTAGCTGGTATTTTAAGTTGAGGTTGAGTTGGTTATTTTTGGTATACTTGTTTAGCAATTTAATATCTGGTAATCAGGTAGTTGTTTGCATTCATTAGATGGTTTTAGTATTTTGGTTGGGTGGATCTGCTATTTTTAATAGAGATTTTAAGAAATCTTAATCTCTTTTATCTTTCTAAACGTTGTGGAACTGACTTTTTTTTTTTACAGAAAAAAAAGTCAGTTTGCTGAAAAGCATTTCTCATCAAAAGATTATATTACATCTTATTTAATTTTCCTGCTTTCTTTTTTTTTTTGCTATATGAACTAATTTAAAAATTTATTTGTTGCTTATTTTTAGTTGCTTATTTTGTAATTGTTATAGTTATTATTATAGTGTCACTATAATCACTATTATTATAGTGATTATTATAGTTGCTTATTTTGTAAAGTTTTAATTTAGTAAACTTTAAATGTAGGTGTTGAATAAGGCTTGTTGTTAAAAAGTGTTGATTTTTAAGGAGTTTTGCCCAAATCTTTTTTTATGTTCCAATTAAAAGATTGCAGTTCGTGTATTGCAATTAACTAGATTTGTAACTTCAGTTTATTTGAATGAAGCCACTGTATCTCCTATTTTAACAGAACATTATGATTCTGGTAACCATAATATTAAGTTATTTGAGTGTAAGTATAGGCCTAGGGCACTGTTAGACTCCAGTTTTATTATTTAATTTATTATAATTTATTAGTAATATTTAATATAAAATTAGTAAGGTCTGAAAAATTTCAGTATGAGTTATTTTTTTTATTTTCTTTCTGTATATCATTTTGCAGTGTTTGCATAATTACATTATTAAAAGTATTTTCTCATTTATATGTTTTATTTGAAAACAATAATACAATTTTAATATAGAATTATTACCTTTTTTTTTGTTTAGGTAATTTTTTTCATTTAACTAAATTTGTTTCAAAGTTGTCTAAATCTTTTTTTTTTATCTAAGTTTTTGTTCTATGGATCTTCTGGCTCCTTAGAACAAAATTTCACTGAAATTTAATTAATTTTAATAATGTAGTTGTCTACATTGAATAAACAAAAGTTGTTTTTTTTCAAATAAAGGTAATTATAGTGCTTGGAGTAATTGGAGTATTTGTTCAGCATCATGTCAGCTTATGTCTCAAGATTTTCCAATTCAATTTCGCAGTAGGATTTGTGAAGGTGATACTTTAGGTGGGGGTTGTTTGGGCCCAAGTAATGAGTCTATACCATGTAACAATAATATATCTTGTCCAGGTAATGAATTTGTTTTTTACTAAGAAATTTATTTATAAAAAATTATTTTTTTATAATTATTTTAGATTATTAATAAAAAAAACTAATGGACTTAGCAAATATAAAAAAATAGTTTAAGAATATGTTTTATTTTTATCCATAAACAAAGTATACATGGTACAACATGATATAAACCTTAAACATATTTGGAAAATAATGTGCACTTATATGCTTTTGTAAAGAATAGATTTTACTCTAATGGTTGTTTTATGTAAGTATCAAATGTCCCCATAAACTAAATATGATAGTATACACTTGCTTAAGCATATGCAATAAGATTGTTCTATGTATCACTATGTCTAGTAAACTACGTCTATCAAAATCTATGGTGTGGTTAACTCAAATTTAAATTAATAACTAAATTTAAACCTGGCTTTTTCATTTGAAGTTTTTTAATAAAAACCTTATTAACTTAAGGGCCATCCATAAATGTTGTCTGTAGATATAGGCAGTGAGGTAGTGCTAAAAGATAGACAATAATAGTTGACAATAGAGAGAATGTGTGTTCAGATGAAAGTGTTTTTCAATTTCTAAAAACTTTAGTTTTTAAAGTTTATATTTATACCTAGCATAGATATCTTTTTTTTTTACATTTAGATTTAGAAAGGTTATGGCAGTTAGATAAATATTGAGGAAAACAGCCTTTATATATATAGGCAATTAATCTGCTAAATGTGCTTTTGTGAATTACAGTGAATATTTCTACATTTAACTATTTTAAACAGATCCATGTTGACTAAGTTAATTACAGTTGAGGTGTAATGTTTTATCATTTATTAACATAGAATTAAAATTTACTTAGGTAGAATTGATCATAATTAACTGTTTTGTAGTAGTAACTACCATTATGTGATATGAATTATAACCACTATATGGTAGTATAATTAAGCATATTAAATTATAAAAAATTATTATAAATTAAGAATGTTTATACTATGTTAGGATATGAAGTTAATGTATTAATTTAAATTATATTTTTTTATTTACATTTAAAAAAAAAAAAGGTAATTTGACTGATTGGAGTCAGTGGAGTACATGCTCTAGTACTTGTAAGACTATCAGTGTTGGACCTTACCAGTACAGGAACAGGTCTTGTGTTGGTTATTCTACATGGAATGTTAAGGATGTACCCTGTAATGGCAGCAATATATCTGATCAGCAATTTTGCAATCAAAATATTCCCTGCTTAGGTATACTTCTTTTTTATGATATTTTAAATTTATGCAATTATTTTATTTGATGTTTTTTTTTTATATTATGATGCTACATTTGAAAATTAGGTAGTTTAGTATGTCATATCAAAGATAGTTTTTGTAAATTTCACAAATTAAGTGACAGGGTTGGCAACAGTCTGTGAAATTATTTTAACAAAACTGTTACTATTTGTGTCGTTTTTGTTGACCATGTTATATATAAATTATATATATTAAGTTTATAATTTTTGTTTTTTCTAATAATATATTAGTAATATTTAATTTAATAGTAATTATACAGTTTAAATTGTTTCTGCATAATTGTTTTTTTTTTTGTTAGGTTTTTTTTTTTTAATTTAAAAAATCTTGTTTCAAATTTTTAAAAATTGTTTTTTTGTTTTAATTTATTTTATGCTTCTTGCTACTTAAAGTACAATATATATTTTAATTTGAACTATATTAATTTATTTATTTTTATTGCATAGATATTACAAATCTTTGCAGAGTAGGATTATTGTAATCCTTTTTTAGTAGCAATTAGTTATTTATTTGTTTTTTGTTAAGACTAAAAATTTATAAAATTATATATATTTTTAATTTTTGTCCTGAGTTTTTTTAATTACTTTTTAAATAATGTTTTATTTGAAGTTAATATTATAATTTTAACATGATTTTGTTAGTTTTTTTTTTTTTAGGTAGTTTTTTGATTTAATGATTTATTTTAAAGTTTATTATAACTGTTTTTTATTTAAATTTTTCATATTTTAGTAAAATTGTTGTCTAAAGCATAAATATAAATTTTTTTTTATATAAAGGTAATTACAGTGCTTGGAGTGATTGGAGTGTTTGTTCAGCATCATGTCGGATTACTTATCAAGAACTTCCATTTCAAAGTCGTCGCAGGATTTGTGAAGGTGATACTTTAGGCGGGGGTTGTGTCGGCGAAAGTTATGAATCTGGGCCATGTAATTATAATACACCTTGTCCAGGTAACATTTTTTTTAATAACTATTATTTAAATGTAAAATGACACTATAACTTGATGATTTTGATACAAAGGAACTTTAATAATATATTTATAATGAACCCAAGTTTTTTTAAATTTCAAATTTTTTCAAATTTCAAAGTTTCATTTTTATATAAATTTTTTTCTAATTTCATTCTGATTTACTTACAACAAGGCTGCAAGCAACCACTATTCAGCTACTAGAAATAAAAGAGTAGACTTATAGAGCTTAGAGAATAGAGTTATAGACAAGTTTCATGGTTTGGTCTTATTGGTGCTTATTACGAACACAGCAGTTAATCTAGAAATACCTTAACTAGGGTTAAGTGTGCTAACTGCAATTGTAACAGATTTCAAGATAACTAATGTAAAAGACAATTTGAACCTTCTTTTTTAGAAAGATATGGTAGCAAAATGTGTAGATCTCTGCATTAAAAAAGGTGTTTGAGAAAAATGTTGGTCAACTTTTTTTCTATGTTTTATGTTAAAACTTTTGTATCAAGGATTTTTTGCCGAATTAAAACCGACTTTAATTATTTTATATAATTTTCATTTTTTTCCTATTTGCAAGGGCTAAATGTGTGATACTGAGAGTGAATATATTAAGCTCATTTATAGATAGTTTTTATATTTATCCTCAACAGTTATTTAAATTTTTTAATCTTGCATTCTAACACCTTTTCAAATTTGCTTATTGAGAATAGAGTTTGTACCATCTTCAGAGTTGTAAATTGCAGAGCTTGATAGATAAACAAAGTGGTTTTCACAACTTTAATTTAAAAATACACTCTTGGTGATCTGATTTTTTTAATTAATACCAATCATGCACTTATTTAAAACTGATGCATGGCCAAAGTTTTGGTCTCCAAATAAATAAAGATCCTCCTCAGTCATCTATACTGCACAGAGGCATCAAGAGCATTATATGAGAGATCTTTATGAGGTATCATACTGATAATGATCTGATTTCTAAGGAGCATCACAAATTTCTTCCAAGTAAAAAAAAAGCGTAACCGTTTTCCTAGAGTCTTTAGATTCAATTTCATAAACAATAAAATTAAACAAGTCAGTAATGCTTTTTGATTATTTTTGAAAAGCCTTTGACAGTGTTTCTCTTTAAAGGTTTTGTGCAAAATTAGAGACATGTAAACTGATATTTACTAAACTTAATAAAACTTTTAAAATATTTATGAGCCAAGAGTGGAAATGGGCTATAATTATATATATATATATATATATATATATATATATATATATATATATATATATATATATATATATATATATATATATATATATATATATATATACATATATATCTGTGTGTATATATATAACTATAGTAAAGGGCTTAGATATACAGTTTGTGGTAAAAAAAAAGTAGCTTTTCTATTGTCTGTAGTGTTTAAACATACAAAATTAACGTTATGATATAATAAAACACATTAAATTAATTGCGGAAAATAAATAAGATTAAAAACATTCTAACTGTTTGTTTTTTGTTTTTTTTAAAAGAAAAACATTTTTACTGTAAAACATGCGCCGTGAGTTGCTACATTGATTGTCTTTTAGCTTGCTGCCACAAGGAAATGCCTCTACAGCGACTATCTTATAGCCTGCTGCTACAAGGGAGTGCTCCTGTGTTAACTATTTTATAACCTGACTCACAACGGAGTGCCCCTACATATATATATATATATATATATATATATATATATATATATATATATATATATATATATATATATATATATATATATATATATATATAAATATATATATATATACATATATATATATATATATATATATATATATATATATATATATATATATATATATTTATATATATATATATACAATACATATATATATATATATATATATATATATATATATATATATATATATATATATATATATATATATATATATATATATATATATATATATATATATATATATGTATATATATATATGTATGTATATATATATATATATATATATATATATATGTATATATATATATATATATATATATATATATATATATATATATATATATATCACCACGATCGGTTGAAATGTAGCTATTTTCAAATTGAGTTTTCTTAAAAACTACATAATCTATTAGTTATAACCTTTTTTACTTATGATTATACATAATTAGTTTATTTGTGCACAAGTATAGTTTTGTTTACCTCCTCATTAATTTTTGCAATGTTTAGTTAAGAGTCAGAAAAAAAAAGTCTGAAATTATATATAGAAAATCCATTATTTTCATATTCTATGATTTCAAAAGTATGTACAGTTCCAAAATCAACTTTTGGAATTGTTTTGAGGAAAACAAAACTGTAAAAAAAATCGAGAAGTGATGGAAAATCAAGATTTATTTCTAAAAAGAAAATGGAAATAATAGTTGCATCAATTCAATAAATTCAGACTCAGTCACAAGATTTAGCTACAACGTTTAAATGCAATAAAGTTTTTATTTAAAAAAAATGCTTAAAGAATAATACAAAAAAAAAAAAAAAATACTAAAAAGGTTGCTTGATGGAGAAATCAAGAAAATTGGATAAGCTAAAAATTTGCTTAGATAAATTACAAAAAATTATTTATGCATTTTTAAAGTCAATGAAACTTACTATAAAAAAAGATCACTCAATGCTTCCAGTTAATCAATACTATTATCAGTCAAAATGTTTTAAAACTTCTGACAAATTTAAGTACATTTGAGTAAGAAAATCACTTTTCTGCCATGCAAGTTCCTTGCATGGCAGGCAATTTCCAATTAAAGTTTTTAAAAGCTCTACTTTCATAACAAATCAAACTTTGACACCAGATCTATGTGAGAAAATACTTAAAAAAATGACTTCTTGCTCTAAGTAAAGCTCAAATAATCATCCTTATTTTGGCCAGATCTGGCATCAATCCGCTGTTCCAAAAAAGTTATTAAGTGGTATAAAAAAAAGAGAGTCAATTTAGTTCCAAAGGATGTTAGTCCAACTAACTGTCCTGAGCAGCCAGTTATCAAATCTGACAGGGCAAATGTGAAGTTGATATTGGGGAAAAGAGGCAAATGTAAAAAAAGTGTTAAAAAATTTCCAAGATATATGGATTAATGCCACAAAAAAAGTAGTGTAAAATGAAATTGTGGAGAGGATGAATGGTACTTTAATGTTAGGGCTATATTTATTTTTATTGAAATAAAAATTAATTATGTAAGCCCCATTATAAAAAGAAAAGTGTTAAAATTAGTAAAGTTGTCTTTGAGAAACCTTACCATGAAAAAATTATCCAATATTCAACTTATCACAGTGATATATACAAAATGTATAATGTAAATGATATATGTATAATGTATAATGTAAATGATATATATAAATGTATATGTATATACCACTGTATATTATACAGTGAAATACACATATACATATGTATATATCACTGTGATTAGTTAAAATTTGGAAAATTTTTTAATGTTAAGTTTTCTCAAAGACAACCTTACCAATTTTAACAATTTTCTTTTTATCCATTATAAAAAGAAAATTGTTAATAAAATATGGCTTAAATAATTACTTTTTATTATATATATATATATATATATATATATATATATATATATATATATATATATATATATATATATATATATATATATATATATATATATATATATATATATCACATAAATACATATAGCAAACTTGACCATGGCCATTTGCGCAAGTTTTATTATATGCGTTGCTGGAAAAAGTTTTAAATTTAATAACTACATAAGAAATTAAACTTAAATAGAAAACAATAATAATAGTTTAAATAATTTCTTTGTTGATTTTATTTTTGTTTTTTCTTAGTGGTTATTATTATCGCAACAAAATTCAGTTAGTCAAAGCGAAAAAAAAAAAAAAAAAAAAAAAAGGGTTTAAGCCTTAAAAAGGATGACTTTTCTATTTTATGTATTTTTTTTATTTTAAGAGAAAAGAGAAAATATGTATTGTCATCTGTTTGTAAAATATGTTTGTATAATTATAATGTAACAAGTATATATCAAGGGTTAATTTATATGATCCCGATTTGTAAACTCTGGTAAAATATTAGGTATTTAAAATTTTAGTTTATGCAAAGCTGTGTACTTTGTTTACAAGGATCAAATTATAAAAAGTTTGCTATCAAGAAAATTACGAAAAAAAAAAATAAAATAAAAAACTTACAACTACAAAAGTAATAACACTGTAGTCACTAACTGCATTATAAAAGTCATAAAACTATAATAGTGTTATTACATTTATAAAGCACTTATTAATTTTGAAGTTCATTCTTTGTTCAAACAACATTAATTCCAAACATTTATCAAGTAGAAATGCATCTATAAAAAACAAAGCGTATATTTAAATACTAATAAAATAACAGGAACTTTCACAGATCACTTATACAAGGTTATAAAAAAGTACTTTATAAAAAGTATAGCATTATGAAAATTGTTACTTAAAGACTTTTGATTGGTTAATTTTAAAATTAACGCGCGATTTTACAGTCTATTAGTTACGTGTTTCATAATGCTAAACTTTTAATACATTACATTTGTATAAAGTTGTATGTCCCCTTTTTTTAAGCTATTTAAGTTTTAAATATTATTTGATCATCCACTTTATTCTTCTAGATATTTTTCTCATTCAATTAAAATTTGGGATTACTTATGTTGCATGAACAAAGAATAAATTTTAAAAGTAATAGTGCGTTATAAAAGTAATAACACTATTAGTAAACAAAACTACACTCTTGCATAAATAAACTAATTATGTATAATCATTATAAAAAAAAATTTAACAATAGATTAAGTGGTTTTCAAGAAAACTCAATTTAAAATTGTTCAAATTTCAACCGATTGTGGTGATATATATCTTCTTTTCAACATCTTCACTTCCAATGTGGCTGCAAGCAACTATCATTAGAGTTGGAAGTAACTAGAAGAGAAAAGATTAAGTTTATAAAGCAAGATAACAATTAACAGAGGTTTTAAAAGATTTCAAATTATATAAATCATTAAAACAAGATGAAGGATGTGAATTCCAAAGGACTAATGTTTGTGAAAAAAAACTAGGCAAATAAGAATGTTTTGAGTATTTAGGATTAGTCACTGTAAAAAGATGAGACTTAGTTAAATGACGAGTAACATAAAAATGAATTTAAGTAGATAGAACAAGAGATCTAAGCTCTTTAAAGTAATGGATATTATAATGTTTTTAAATAAGAGAAAGAGAAGCAACATAATGGTTGGATGTGATATTGGTTGGAGGTTGGCTGCAAGAGCAGGTACAACTATGTTTACATCTGTGTTTTGCATCTTGTCTAAAAGAAAAAGGGCATAGTAGGAAGATCTGCCTTTAATATGGTAACTGTATTCCATACAAGGATGGATTTGAGATTTATAGAGATAAAAAATCAAATCTTAAGTAAGAAAAAGCTAGAGTGATTAAGAGATGCAACCTTAGCAGAGTGAATAAAAGATGCAACCTTATCCCCCCTCTCCAACCCACCATCATTCAACAACAATTCTTACCGGCCTTGATTAGAACTATAAATCAATATTATTATGGTAATATTAATTTAAATGATTAAACAAATCTAAACAAAATAAACAAGTTTAATATTTTTTTAACAAATGTCAGGATGAAATTTGTTTAAAATATAGTATAAATAGATATAAACATATAATTTGATTTATTTTTTAAAAAAAGTCGTCATTATCCCCCCCCCCCCTCCTTCCTTACACACACACCCCTACTTTACCTGACAATTACTTGCCCAGGCCTTGATAAGAACTATATTTAATGTTTTTATAATAATATTAATTTATAGTTTTATATTAGTATAAATAAAATATATGCATTTATTAAAAATTATGCTCATATAAATCATTTAAAAAAAATTTTTTTTTTATAATCTTAAGTCTTTTTATAAAATAATTTAAAACCAAATAGCAAGTATTGTACTATATCTCATCAAAATATATATGTTAACTACCTTACTAAACCGTAGACTATATGGATTTAAATTTAGCAAGAATGTTGTTGATTTAAATCAAGCACTCTACATATGCACCAATACCATTTATACTGATTGTGATAAAATCTTTTTTAGAAATATACACCTATAGTTACCATTAAATATTAGTATTATTAGCCATATTAAATTATAAAATATTATATTATATGAAGAAAATTTGTTAAATTGCGTTGTTTTTATAATGACAATTTTTTAAAAAAGGTAATTTGACTGATTGGAGTCAGTGGAGTGCATGTTCTAGTACATGTAAGACTATCAGTGATGGACCTTACCAGTACAGGAACAGGTCTTGTGTTGATTATTCTACTTGGAATATTCAGGATTTACCTTGTAATGGCAGCAATATAACTGATCAACAGTTTTGCAATCAAAACATACCTTGTTTAGGTATACTTTTTTGTTAACATTATTACAGTTAATTTTATATAATCACTTTTAAAGATGTTTATATTTTTATACTTACTTCTAAATTTGTTTATATTCTGATGTTTAAAAATAACAATGATAATATGTTTTTTCTTTTTTTGCTTGTTTTTGTTTGTGAATTAATTAAAAACAAAAATAGTTCAATGATTTTTAAATCATATTATTATATAAAATATCTAACTATTATATGTTATATCTATCAATTTATATTTCTATATATATGTATATATATATATATATATACATATATATATATATATATATATATATATATATATATATATATATATATATATATATATATATATATATATATATATATATATATAATATATATATATATATATATATATTTATATATATATATACACACATACATATGTTTACCTATCAAAATTTTTCACGTTTAATTTACAGTAGGATTTAATTATATATAATATATATATATATATATATATATATATATATATATATATATATATATATATATATATATATATATATATATATATATATACATATATATATATATATATATATATATATATATATATATATATATATATATATATATATATATATATATATATACATATATATGTATATATGTATATATATATATATATATACATATATATATAATATATATATATATATGTATATATATATATATATATATATATATATATATATATATATATATATATATATATATATATATATATATATATATGTATACATTATATATATATATATATATATATTTATATATATATATATATATATATATATATATATATATATATATATATATGTATATACACACATATATATATATATATATATATATATATATATATATATATATATATATATATATATATATATATATATGTATATACACACATATATATATATATATATATATATATATATATATATATATATATATATATATATATATATACACACACATACATATGTTTACCTCTCAAAATTTTTCAATTTTAATTTACAGTAGGAGTTATTTGCTGGTATTTTAAGTTGAGGTTGAGTTGGTTATTTTTGGTATACTTGTTTAACAATTTAATATCCATTAATCAGGTAGTTGTTTGCATTCATTAGATGGTTTTAGTATTTTGGTTGGTTAGATCTGCTATTTTTAATAGAGATTTTAAGAAATCTTAATCTCTTTTATCTTTCTAAAAGTTGTGGAACTGACTTTTTTTTTTTTACAAGTTTGCAGAAAAGCATTTTTCATCAGAAGATTTTATTTTATCTTATTTATTTTTCCTGCTTTTTTTTTTTTTTCTGCTATAAGAACTAGCTTATTTATAGTTGCTTAGTTCCTTATTTTGTATAGTTTTAATTTAGTAAACTTTGAATACAGGTGTTGAATAAGGTTTTTTGTTAAAGTTTGTTCATTTTTATAGAGTTTCGCCCAAATCTTCTAATTATCACTAAATAAAAAAATTGTAGTTTAGGTATTGCAGTTAACTAGATTTGTAACTTCAGTTGATTTGAGTAAAACCATTGTATCTCTTATTTTAACAGAAAACTAAGTTTCTGTTAACCATACTATTAAGTTATTTGAGTGTAAGTATAAGCATAGGGCACAACTAGACTCCAGTTTTCAATATTTAATTTATTATAGTTTATTAGTAATATTTAATATAAAATTAGTTACACAGGGTCTGAAAAGTTTCAGTATAAGTTATTTTTTTCATTTTCTTTCAGTATATTATTTTTCAGTGTTGGCATAATTACATTATTAAAAGTACTTTCTTATTTATATGTTTTATTTGAAAATAATAATATAATTTTAACATGAAATTAACACCTATTTTTTTTGTTTAGGTACTTTTTTTATATTTAACTAAATTTGTTTCAAAGTTGTCTTAAACTTTTTTTTTTTGTCCAAGTTTTTGTTCTATGGATCTTCTGACTCCTTAGAACAAAATTTCACTGAAATTTAATTAATTTTAATAATGTAGTTGTCTACATTGAATAATCAAAAGTTTTTTTTTTTTTAAATAAAGGTAATTATAGTGCTTGGAGTAATTGGAGTATTTGTTCAGCATCATGTCAGCTTACATCTCAAGATTTTCCAATTCAATTTCGCAGTAGAATTTGTGAAGGTGATACTTTAGGTGGGGGTTGTTTGGGCCCAAGTAATGAGTCTATACCATGTAACAATAATATATCTTGTCCAGGTAATGAATTTGTTTTTTACTAAGAAAAATTTTATTTTTATAATAATTTTAGATTATTAATAAAAAAAACTAATGGACTATTATATATACTAGACAAATATAAAAAAATAGTTTAAGAATATGTTTTATTTTTATCCATAAACAAAGTATACATGGTACAACATGATACAAATCTTTAATATATTTGGAAAATAATGTGCACTTAGATGCTTTTGTAAAAAATAGATTTGACTCTCATGGTTGTATTATATAAGTATCAAATTTCCCCATTAACTAGGGTTGGAAAAAACCTAGGGTTTTTAAAAAAACCAACGCAAATGGTTTTTTTTGGGTTTTATTGGGTTTTATGGGTTTTTTGGGTTTCTTTAAAAACCGATCAAAATACCAAATTTTTATAACTGTATGAGTACAATAATTTTTTTTAAATTAAATAAACTCACCTTCCTATTGCTCCAATGACCACTTCAGTCAAGGGAGCAACTCATTTTTTTTTTAAAATATTCTGTCTCAATCCTTAACATTACCATTTTTACTAACAAGCAATATTAACAACTAAAATTTTTACACAAATGCACTGTTTGAAGAAATAGATTGAGCGCAGTAATTTCAGCAGAGATAATTTGAACCCCAACCTTCTGAATGCAAGCCAAATGTTTTACTACTATTCTACTAGCACATTTTACCTATAGTACAAAAAGGGACTCCTTCAATTATAAATGATGTTAATTAATTGCACAAAATTATAAACAATTTTAGAATATTTTTGACTAAAAAAAAATCACTATAAAAATTATTATGACAACTGAATTATTCAAAGTTGGTAAGACAATATAAATGTTGGAAACTAGTTATATAGTTAAACCTTCTAAGTTATTGTCAATCAGAATGACTATGAACACTTTTTAAATATTTTTGCATCATTGAAGAAAACTGTTAGCTAATCACTACATTTTTTTTTATCAGAACATTATACTGTCTAGCTTTCTGGAAAAGTTATCAGCATGATCAACTGGACTTGGGCAAAAATCCATTTTTTGCCTAAGCTTTGGTTGTTATTAAAATATCTAAAATGAATTTGTTAAGAACCATTATAGTGTCTTCACCACCAGATTCTTTTTTTTTTCTTGAAGATGTTTTACTGGCTCAGTTTTGCAATTGAATCAAAGTAACACATTATATAGCTTTATTGTGTGTGTTTCTTCACCTTTCATTTTCAACCTGCTGTTCATAGTCACCCCTGTTGGTGGTACATATTGTAAACTTGTAGCTGATGCAAAATATTTGAAACCTGTCAAAAGACAGATGAGCACGAGTATCATTTTTACGAACAAATCTTGTCCTTGTGAAATGCAAACAAGTTTTCAATATGTTCTCTCGTTGAATGAGAGAACATATTGAAAAATCTATATTAAGTACATACAACTTTAAAACATACAACTTTAAAACATAAAAAAAGTTAATTTTTTTTATGTTTTAAAGTTGTATGTACTTAATATAGATAAGTCTAGTAAACTTTAGGATTTTTTTTTACCTGACAACTTTCCATTTCTAAACTGTAAATAAAGTTTAATAATTTTTATATATAGCATTTTGTTTGTTGCTTTGTACTGAAATTTGCAGTTTGTAACATAAGCTTTAAAAAATAAAAGATCAAATACCAATATAAAATGACATATATAAAATGCTTGTTTGAAAATATAGACATTTGAGAGTAGAATAAAGATACTAAATAACTAGTAATGTCTTGAAATTTAGTTAATAGAATGATTTTTATTTCCTTTGTAAGTATTTAACTAATTTAATGTTTTAATACATATTTGAATAACATTTATAATAACTTGCTATATGTTTAAAAAAAATAATAGATATTCAACTTGCTACAAAAACAGATTGATCGGTTTCGGATATATTCTAAATACCATTATGTATATAAATACAGTGTTTACAAGAGTATTTACAGCATAAAAGTTTCATTTGCTGATTTTATTAATAAAATCACAAAACCGCATTTATAAGAGTTAAAATCAGAGTTATCAGTTGTAAAATTTTGTTGACATCAGTTGACATTTTTAAAAAAACCCAAATATATTTTGAGTTTTTTTGGGTTTTATTGGGTTTTTTTAAGGTGGGTTTTTTGGGTTTTTTTGGGTTGGATTTTTTGCCAACCCTGCCATTAACTAAATATGATAGTATACACTTAAATTTAAATTAATAACGAAATTTAAACCTGGCTTTCACATTTGAAGTTTTTTAATGAAAGCCTTATTAACTTAAGGGCCATCCATAAATGATGTCTGTAGATATAGGCAGTGAGGTAGTGCTAAAAAGATAGACAATAATAGTTGACAATAGGGAGGAAGTGTGTTCAGACGAAAGTGTTTTTCAATTTATAAAAACTTTAGTTTTTAAAGTTTATATTTATACCTAGCATACATTTTTTTTTTTTTTTACAATTAGATTTAGAAAGGTTATGACAGTTAGATAAAGATTGAGGAAGATAGTCATTGAATTTTTTATATAGGCAATTTTTCTGCCTGATGTGCTTTTGTGAATTACAGTGAGTATTTCTACAGTTAACTATTTCAAATAGATCCATGTTGTCTGAGTTAATTACAGTTGAGGAGGAGTGTTTTATCATTTATTGACATGGAATTAAAATTTACTTAGGTAGAATTGATCATAATTAGCTGTTTTGTAGTAGTAACTACCATTATTTGATAAGAGTTATTACCACTATATGGTAGCATAATTAGGCAAATTAAATTATAAAAAATTATAATAAATTAAGAATGTTTATACTATGTTATGATATGAAGATAATGTATTAATTTGCATTATATTTTTTTAATTACATTTAAAAAAAAAGGTAATTTGACTGATTGGAGTCAGTGGAGTACATGCTCTAGTACTTGTAAGACTATCAGTGTTGGACCTTACCAGTACAGGAACAGGTCTTGTGTTGGTTATTCTACATGGAATGTTAAGGATGTACCCTGTAATGGCAGCAATATATCTGACCAGCAATTTTGCAATCAAAATATTCCCTGCTTAGGTATACTTCTTTTTTAATATATTTTAAGTTAAATTTATGCAACTATTTTATATGATATATTTTTTTTATATTATGATGCTACATTTGAGAATAAGATAGTTTAGTATGTTATATCAGAGATAATTTTTGTAAGTTCCACAAATTAAGTATTTGTCTTATTAAAAGTGTAAATAAATTTGTCTTATTAAAAGTGTTTTTTATCTTTGTTCTTTTTTATTTGAAGAGAAATAATTTAAATCCAACATATTGTTGTTGTTTTTTTTTGTTAGGTTTTTTTTTTAATTTAAAAAATCTTTTTTTAAAGTTTATAAAAATTCTTTTTTTGTTATAATTTATTTATGCTTCTAGCTACACAAAGTATAGTACACAAAGTATAAGATACAAAGTATAAGATATATAGTACACAAAGTATAAAATATAACTTAATTTTAACTTGATTAATTTATTTATTTTTATTGCATAGATATTACAAATCTTTGCAGAGTAGGATAATTGTAATCCTACTTTAGTAGTAATTAGTTAATTATTTGTTTTTTGTTAAGACATAATTTTTTTTCTTGAATTCGTTAAATGTTTTCGATGTTGCAAAGTTATTTAGTATATTATTCCAATATGTCACTATCCTGTTGCTGAAGAAGTTTTCACGGTAACTGTTCTCAGTAAACTCTCTGTACTCTTTGTGTGGTTCTCCTCTGATATTAGAAGATGGATTTTTTAGAGTTAAAAAAAAAGTTTTTGAATTTGGATGACACCAGTTTACTTTGTTAAAATTTGTTTTTATTATAAAATATTGGATGAGATCTTCTCTAATTCTTTAGAATTCGAGACTATTTAACTAAAAATTATATAATTATATATATTTTTTACTTTTGTCCTGAATTTCTAATTACTTTTTAATTAATGTTTTATTTGAAGTTAATATTATAATTTTAACATGATTTTATTAGTTTTCTTTCTTTTAGGTAATTTTTTGATTTAATGATTTATTTTGAAGTTTGTTATAACTGTTTTTTATTTAAATTTTTCATATTTTAGTAAAATTGTTGTCTAAAGCATAAATATAAAAGTTTTTTTATATAAAGGTAATTACAGTGCTTGGAGTGATTGGAGTATTTGTTCAGCATCATGTCGGATTACTAATCAAGAATTTCCATTTCAAAGTCGCCGCAGGATTTGTGAAGGTGATACTTTAGGCGGGGGTTGTATCGGCGAAAGTTATGAATCTGGGCCATGTAATTATAATACACCTTGTCCAGGTAACTTTTGTTTTTTTAATATATTAATATTTAAATATAAAATGACACTATAACTTGATGATTTTGATACAAAGTAAATTTGAAAATATATTTATAATAATATTTAAAAACTTTGGCATATAAAATTTGCTGAATGGTCACACACGAGCAGTGAACGCCTGAGGGAAGAAATGAAGTACATTAGAATAAAGGAGAATTATTTATTAGACAAAGCATATTTTGACAGTTGTCAAGACAAAAATAAAGATTAATAGAGAATATTTAAAAATAAATTAGACAGGCTATACACCCACAACAATAATAACAATAAAAATAAATTAAAAACAAAAAAAAAATAATTGTTTACTAAACACCAATATGAACGAAGATATGCATCACCAGACAAAAACTTCTAAAACAAAAAACCGATCATAAAATAAAAAATATGATAACAACAATGAAAGGCATTTAATAATGGAAAAACAACATTAATACTAATGTGTAAACATAATTTGTGTAGTGATTAAGTAATAAACATCTCCTCAGAGTCGCGTCTATTATTACTGACGTTTTGAAGAAGATCAGCATTTATAACTAGTTTATCCCGTCAGACAAACGTCATCGCCACTTATGCTTTACTCCGCGACTTACGCCTATTTCATTCTGCAGTAAAAAAGGACTCACTACAAATAGCCAAAGTCCAACCAACCCCAGATTTGTAAAGTACTAATATTTTTTTGATGATATGATATAAAAAGTGTAGATTTACTGAACAAACAAAAATAAAAATAATTAAATAAAAAACTTACCATACCACTAAAAGAAAACACGAAAACAAAATAAATTAAAATTCTAATAGAAACATAAAAAAATATTTTCATAAATTTATTTTAAGAAATAAAACCAAATAGGTATTATTATCAGAAAGCAGTATACCTCATTAATTTTTTTTTTTTTTTAATCAACAAAACAACAATAGCCTTAAATAAACTCTAACGCTGTCATAGATACCTCATTCGAAATATGACAACCAATTAAAAGTGTAGGAAAATGAGCAGCCAGCAAAACCCATAATCATAACAATAATTGAAAAATATATGATAGCGAAAAAGAACGTTGCACAAAAAACTTAAAAAATGTAAGCGGCATATATGTAAACATTTAATGAAGAATATAAAAATATTCTCTGAATAATAATAAAGATGAAAAATGTGCATGTGAAAATTAAAACAAAGCTGAGCAATGAATGCAACAAACAGTAATAATATGAAAATCAGGAGATAAATAATATATCAACAAACACTGCAACAAGACTAACTAAATATTGCAATAAAACCAGATAATTTTAAGCCAAATGAGTGGTTAAAAAACTAGCCGTGGATAATATAACAACGATATAAGTTGTAATGTAAAAACAATGTACTAAGCGGGAAAAAAATTATTAAAAAGTGAAGTCTTCTCCACGGTCCGAACTAAAAGAAACTTTGAGACCATATCTAAATCAAAATTTCCAAAAAGTAATATTTCCTCTACGGTCCGAATTAAAAGTAATTTTGAGAACATAGAGGCTTTCACAGGAAGACATGCGATTTCACGTCTTTATATGACCACGCAAAAAAAAAAATGTTTTAACGATTTGACCACAGCATTTTTTTAAATTTTAAAAACGCGCTACAAAAACTTATCTAAACTTATCTGAAAAAAAAATTTAAAAAAATAATAAATACTAACGAAAGAGAAAAAAAAAAAATACTTTGTTAAAGCAAAAACACATTAAAATAAATATATAAATAACGCAACTAAAACAAAACTCATCAAACTAAAATGCTTAGTCTATTTAATTTAGGCATTAAAAAACCTTTTCAATATTTGTTTCAACATTTATATATATTTTTTATTTATTTAATATGTTCAAAAGTTAATTATTTCGCATAAAAAATACATAGTTATATAAATAAAATAAAAAAATATTAATACTTTTATTAAATTAATTAGAAGTGTTTTTTTTTACTCTATTAAAAGCGTTTTGATAATATAAAAGCATTTAAGATCAAACTTATTAAATTGTAACTTTTTTTTTTCAACGAAAATTTGTTTATCTTTTTAAATGCATTAACTTTAATCATTCTTATATTTAAATTCGTTAAAGAGACTTTCGTAGTTGTAAAATGTCATCATTTATAAAAACAAAACTTTTTTATTTTTTAATAAGATTTATTTTAGAAATAAACACTTAAACAATTTATATGTTTTAAATTAAAAAAACACAACTGTCAATTATATTTAAAAAACAAATTTTTTTTTCAGTAAATTGTTACTTTATTAAAAATCGTTTTGCTAATATAAAAACATTTGTTAAGAAGTTTTGATGTAATTAATTTCACTTTTTTAGAATATTTTTTATTTAGCGCATTTCTAAAACGTTTTTTGAATTAGCCGCGGTCTAACTGTTATAGCAAAATGTAACTTTCGTGGTCATATGAAGACTTGAAATCGCACTTCTTCCTGTGAAAGCCTGCCATATCTAAATTGAAATTTCCAAAAAGTAAAGTTTTCTCTACAGTCCTAATTAAATGTAATTTTGAGACCATAACAAAATAACAAAGAAAAACATACATCATAAAAACATGTCGAAAGCCGCTAGTTTATAAGAATCGCTCTTATATTTATATATAAATATATATATATATATATATATATATATATATATATATATATATATATATATATATATATATATATATATATATATATATATATATATATATATATATATTTATATATATATATACATATATATATATATGTATATATATATATATATATATATATATATATATATATATATATATATATATATATATATATATATATATATATATATATATATATATATATATATATATGTATATATATATATATATATATATATATACACATATGAATCCTTAAATGAAAAACTCAATCACAAATGATAAACACATTTTATATAAATTTTTTTCTAATTTCATTCTGATTTACTTACAACAAGGCTGCAAGCAACCACTATTCAGCTACTAGAAATAAAAAAGTAGACTTATAGAATAGAGTTATAGACAAGCTTAGAGAATAGAGTTATAGACAAGTTTCATGGTTTGGTCTTATTGGTGCTTATTACGAACACAGCAGTTAATCTAGAAATACCTTAACTAGGGTTAATTGTACTAACTGCAATAGTAACAGATTTCAAGATAACTAATGTAAAAGACAATTTGAACCTTGTTTTTTAGAAAGATATGGTAGCAAAATGTGTAGATCTCTGCATTAAAAAAGGTGTTTGAGAAAAATGTTGGTCAACTTTTTTTCTATGTTTTATGTTAAAACTTTTGTATCAAGGATTTTTTGCCGAATTAAAACCGACTTTAATTATTTTATATTGTTTTCGTTTTTTTCCTATACGCAAGGGCTAAATGTGTGATACTGAGAGTGAATATATTAAGCTCATTTATAGATAGTTTTTATATTTATCCTCAACAGTTATTTAAATTTTTTAATCTTGCATTCTAACACCTTTTCAAATTTGCTTATTGAGAATAGAGTTTGTACCATCTTCAGAGTTGTAAATTGCAGAGCTTGATAGATAAATAAAGTGGTTTTCACAACTTTAATTTAAAAATACACTCTTGGTGATCTGAATTTTTTAGTAAATACCAATCATGTACTTATCTAAAACTGGAGCATAGCCACAGTTTTGGTCTCCAAATAAATATAGATCCTCCTCAGTCATCTATACTGCACAAAGTCATCAAGAGCATTATATGAGAGATCTTTATGAGGCATCATACTGATAATGATCTGATTTCTAAGGAATATCACAGATTTGTTCCAAGTAAAAAAAAAGCGCAACCGATTTCCTAGAGTCTTTAGATTCTAGGAAATCGGTTGCGATTTCCTAGAATCTAAAGACTCTAGGAAATTAAAGAAGTCAGTATTGCTTTTTGATTATTTTCGAAAAACCTTTGAATCTCTTTAAAGGTTTTGTGCAAAGTTAGAGACATGTAAACTGATATTTACTAAACTTAATAAAACTTTTAAAATAGTTATGAGCCAAGAGTGGATATGGGTTATAATTATATTTATATATATATATATATATATATATATATATATATATATATATATATATATATATATATATATATATATATATATAAATATATAAATAAATGTATATTAGGGTCGAGTGATTTGCATACTTTTTTAGAAATTCAACTTTAGTAACCTGGGAGTAAGTTCAACAGGGTAAAATATGAGCTCATAAAAAATTTCAGCTATTCAAAATAAAAAATGGCAAGCTTAATCGACTTTGAAAAAATGCAAAAAAACACTGTTTTTCTTACTTTTCTTGTTTTTCTGCAATTTACGAAGTCAATTAAAAAAGTCAAACCAGTCAAAAGTTTTTTTTTTTTTCAAATAAATTTATTCATCATAAAATGGTTATAAAATTAATTATAAGTTATAAACTTTTTATTTAATATAATGGTATATAAGCAATATACGCATTTAAACATTTAATTTATTTTTAGCTAGTTTTTATAACTCATTTTAGCGCATATCTGTTAATATAAAATACAATCAAATTTTGAATGGTAAACTTAAAATTACTTTTATAACTAAATGGTATATATAAAGTTTACTTACGTAAGCCATTTTTAGTTTTTTAAGGTACATTTAGTTGAAAACTTTATATAATTATATACTAAAAGATTTAGATAATTATAGTTATATAGGTCTTGAGAGTGCTTACACAAACATCAATGTTCTCCAATGTACGGTGGTATGAATTTGGACAATGGACAATATTTAAAAACAAATTATTATTATTTTTTTTCATACTTAGGTAAAAGAAGCCATTATAAAGGTGACGTCAAAACTTAAAAATATTTTTGTTGTTATTTAACGGTCACAATTTTTGTAATTATATTATATTATATGCTGATGATGCCGGTGCCTATAATCCGACAAAAATTTCAAATAAATTA